GGGATTATGAGGAGGGGATGGGTTGGTGGGTGGTGGGGTGGTGATGGGGGCATTGAATTTTGGCCAGTTGTTTGCTAGAGTGGGTGGGGATAATGATATGAATGATGACACACAAATGCTAACTTACACAAAGGGATGTGCACAGCTAATCCTACACCTACTCCACCAGTCCACCACGGCACCACCCACCCTCCACCATAGGTAGTGAATCCCCCACCCACCCCCTACTTACCATCACTACGTTCCAGATGTTTCTTGTGACTTGGAAGGTGGTAAGTAGGGGTAGTTGAAGGGGAGCTAGGTAGGTGTAGCTTTATGTTATTAAGTTCATCTAAATAGATACTTTTAAACTAAAATATAAATTTATACGTAATCATAATAATTAGTACATGAATTCATACTTAAAAATATAACAAATTTAATATTAAAAATCTTAAAAATTAAATTTATAAAGTTTAACTCAACCAACAACCCAGAATAATTTCACTAGTGAAGTATGAGAAGGGTAGTGTGTACGCAGACCTTACCCCTACTATGAGGTAGAGAGACTGTTTTCGATAGACCCTCGGCTCTATCGAAAATTAGCCAATGCTAGGTTGTTTAATGGCCACGTGGGATGATCTTAAATTTGTATTTCAATTTGCGTCCCATATACATGATAGAGGGTAAGGTGGGCAGCTGCAGGAGTGGCCAGTGAGATGAGTGGCTTCATTGACTAAAATTGCAGAGGTAACCCCACACCTACTCCACCAGTTTACCACCACAACACTTCATCAAAGCACATCACATCACATCACATTTTGTAAAATTTTCTACAAATCTGTAACCATATTGTCACAAGAAATAGTACTCCCAACAAATACACCGTATTGTCACAAAAAATAATACTCCCTCCTTTTTACTTTATGTGGTAAGATTTACAGCTTTTTTGGATGGTTGCTACGCGTCGTTTCATAATATATTGTATTATATCGTTTGATAAATATAATATTTGAATAGATTGTATTGTTTGCCGTCATTTTATGATATCACACACCACCAATATGAAGAATAAACTTGTAATATTATAAAAAAATTTATGATACGATATATAAAAAGGTAGGGTAAATGATAAAATAAAATTATTTAATAATAATGAAGGGTGAGATTGAGAGAAAAAGACAAGGTAACGACGCGATCACACCAAATCGATCGTTACATAAAGTGACACATTCCGTCGTCACGTAATAAGATATTTAACGATACGATACAATAAAATTTAAGTAACAATCAAAACAAATATCGTATTTAAAGTAACAATACGATGCAATACAATAGGTAACAATTATCCAAACAAGCTGTTAGGACACGACTGTCAATATATTTAATTTTTGAATATTTAAAAGATACTTAAAGAGTGTAATAGTTAAATGTTTAAAATATAAAAATATTTAAGAAAAAGTTCTTTTAACTTTCTAAATATTGGTGTTGCTTCTTAAGTTATAAAATTGAGTACTCAATTTGTTATACTTTATACGACAGTCTTTCTTTTTAGTTAATCTATATCCTTTTGTATTCAAAAATTCTTTAATTTGAACACTGTTACCTTTACTATTAGGGGTAGAGTAAAATCAATAACAAAAACAAATTCAATGTAATTATACAAGTGAGGTTTGAGGAGGGTGATATGTACACAGTCTTATTTCTATCTTGTGAAGGTAGAAAGACTGTTTTCAACAGATATCGGGTGAACGCAAACTAAAACCCAGTCTACCAATTATCGGCATCAAACAAGCCCATGCCTATCTACATGGTAGCCTAGCGGCGGTAAGGTGTGATTGACCAAAAATAGGGGTATTATCACTTTTAGCCCGCGCAAAAAATTATTTATATTTGATAGTCGAAAAATATATAAAATTTGTATATAACATACAAAATATATAAATATACAAAAAATATACAAACTTTATATATTTTTTTGACTATTATTTTTACAACGGCTATATAGTGTCATTTTCGACCAAAACAAATACCATCTTTTATGTGCATATCTAATCCCACACCTACTCCACTAGTCTTGTTAGTATCATTTTCATTTTCACTATTTTCTACTCTAACTATATAATGAGTTATTTTCCCATGTAGTTACTGCAATTTTGCTCTATAACAATAAAGTTAAAAAATTAACTTTTATCACGATTAAAGTAATTGAACTACGCGTGAATCACTAAAAATATAAATTACGGAGAAGTTAATTTAGTACTTTGCATCAATTTATAACATGTCATTTGTCACATTAGCATTTTGTATAAGTCTTCTTTAACTGATTTTCACACATTTTCAAATGATATGTATTGACTATATTAGTAGCATTATACCCTTATTATGGACCAACCTATCCTTTTCTATCAACATGTTCAAGAATGGGCAATATTTCATTGATGATGCACCGCACCTAATCTGTAGACTTTCTATTATCCTTTTTCGTTTTTGTTTTATCGGTGTCGGGTATTTGCTTTGAAGCCTGACTTATTCGAATTCGTACTATGTAAACAAATTAAAGGAAAAACATCTCATATCAGAATTTTTTCTATTGCCGAAATCTTGTGTTATCAATTATTACAAACATGTAATGTTATTGTAGGAATCTTTAATTTTGTTTGGTGAAATGCCTCAAAATCACCTAACTTCACAAAAATGCTTTAAATGTATTTTGTTGAAAGTTTTTGTTATAATTTTATACTTATATAATTAGATGAATGTGATAAGACATCCGGATCCGTGGCGCAATGGTAGCGCGTCTGACTCCAGATCAGAAGGTTGCGTGTTCGATTCACGTCGGGTTCAATTCCCCGATCCAAATCGGATCCTCCATTTTTTGTTCTTCTTTTTTACTATTCCTTCATATTTTATTATTATTATTATTATTATTATTATTATTATTATTATTATTATATATTAATTTTTCGCTATTGCTTTCACTGGTTCGGACGTGAATAAAGCAGGGAAAAACCGATTTTTTATTTTTTATTTTTATTTTTTCGTATTGTATTAATTCACTATCCTATTAGCTTATGTTTTAGAGTTATTACATGTTTTGTTTAAAGGGATTCAACCAAAACTCTCATGTGGAAGAATTTGCAGAATCTTGTGAATAGATTAACTTTATTTTTTGTAAGTATAAGTTTCATGCACTGCCAACTTACAAAAGATTTACAGTAGTAGGTCAGTTAAAAGACAAATATTAATCGGCAACCTTAAGAAATATGGAAAGCAATCTTATATAATAGGTGAAATACGTCGATACATCGATAATTTAAACTCATATTCTATTCTCCTCCTTGATTTATTTCCAACTGAAGAACCATATATTACTACATTAGTATTAATCACTTAAAACTGATTAAGTGAAGTAGGAGAAGAAACACCAAGCAGCAAGCCAATTAAGCTGACTATATTCCTTAGGGTGGTGTGGTAATACCTGCAAATTCAGAGTAATTAGTTAACAATAAAAGAAAAAATAAACGAATTTCAGCTACAACAAATATAGTCAATAGGATTATACAGAACATTTCAAGAAACGTGCAGAGTCTCTAGAGCAAAATGGAGCACCGCTACTAGCTAGCAATAGGAGTGCGGAACCAAAGTAACACAAAATTCAAATCGAAGAATCAAAATAACGTTTAAAAAAAAGGGAAGAACATGCGCTATACCCTCCTGGCCAAACATCTCAAGCTAACGGACGTCTGGCCAAGTTTGACTGTGGGTATAGCGCATGCCTTCCATGCACTTCAAGAAAATGGTAAATGATCTCCAAGTCACTTTGTACAAATCAATACTAAAAATTAAAAAAAATTACCCCTCTTAATTATTCATAGTTAGCAAGCTATATGAGAAACCTTTTACGACTATACTATAGAAAGACGCGTCGTTCACCTCTGAAAATTTAGCTATTGAAGTACTTCTTTGAATATCAAAGTACAATCAAGCAATATATAGGACAACCCGATACATAAAGTATATATTTCGTATTCACACTGAGTCCGAAGAAGGGCGATATAGATAACTTATCCTAATATAAGTATTAATGTCTGCTTTCACAGTTCGAACCCGTGACCTATAAGTCACTGCATGAAATAATTTTATCGTTGCTCGAAAGCTCCTTTTCAAAATATTAACTAAGTTGGGCATATATTTAAAATTCTGAATTCATCTATGAGAGGAAGCTAGACAAAATGGAGAAAGATTAACTTACTTCCACACTTGAATTTTCGAGGGACTCTTCGACCACAACCTTCCACAAGACGAATAACACGGTTGATATCAATAAGAGCAGCCAATTTGGGAGTAATAATAGAACAAACACATTCAATATGAGTAACTCTAACACGTTCGCAACACTTAGGAGAAGGAAGTTTTCCATACAAAACAGGTTTACAAGCATTTATACCAATTCTTCTCTCTTCTTTACAAGCTGCTTCACTCAATTTCGCACTTGCCATTTTCACTTCAAAGATATTTAACAAAGCTAGGACCAATAGCATGGCCATTAACATAGCCCATGATTTTCCCATTTCACTTTCCACACTCTATTCCCTATAACCATAAAGTTCTAACTCTCCTATCCCTTTTATAGTAGTTGGCTTGAACATATGAGTTTAACTTTTAAAAGTAAAATTATACTATCAGATTATTTAAAAGATAATTACATATAATTGCTCATAATAAATGAAAACGGTTACATGAAAAATAAAGTAGACAACCTACAATAACTGGTTAAATTACACTAATACTTAATTTTTATAAGTTATATGCGCTGACAGTATAAAAAATTCTTGACACTATCAATATTATTTTATAAGTTTTACTGATAACTTATTTTATTTTTGAGGTTACAAGTTTCAATATTTATAGATAGTTACTTATAGATATCTTTTAGACGACGTGACAATAATAAAAATTAGATTACAATATCAATGTAGAATAGTTTAATTCATATAGGTTTAGGAAGTTTCCCTCACGTTAAATGCTCGGATACAATGTCTTTCCCCTTTTGTTATTTGTTTGACTTACAGAAAGAAAGAACAACTTGTCCCCTCAAATTCCAAAGGGTCCCATAGTGAAAAACACAATAGCCATAGTGTGGTCGATGAGCACTATATGTCCGCGTCCCAAACACTCATGTTTTTTGTTTTAGTACTTTTTCTTCTTTGAAACAAAATATATTCTGGTGTATTAAAAGATTGGGGGAAAAAAACTACAATAAAAGCAATTGTTACAGCCAAGGGAGAGTAGTACTACTTCTTTTTGTTTCAAAAAGAATAAAGGGTCAGAATATATGAAGAATAAATTTTTTAAATTTTCAATTTCAATTCCGACATCAATTTCTTAAAGATTTTTTAAAATAAAAGTTAGTTATTTAAAAACTACATACAAGATACTACAATATTACACCCTTTTATAATAAATAATAATATTAACTAACATATGAATTTTTTTTAGTGAATTATTTGATTTTTCAAATAGTAATAAAATGAATAAATTTCGACCTTACTTAAAGTAGTCAAGCTAGTAAATTGATACGTCCAAACGATGTTAAAGTCAATCACTCGATTCCAATCGTCTGTAGCTCTGTATATTCTCGTTGACTCTGGAATTTTTTTTGGTCTTTCCAACTGTTCCTAATTGTAGTTGGTAAAATGCAGAAGACTTTGAAGATGCTATGTGCTTTTTGTTGATTATATTTGGCCTAGGGTTACCTATGATGGATTGATTCGAATTTTTCAATTATTAAACCAAATCAATAGTTTCAGGTTTTTAAATTTATTAGTCTTAGGGTACGCGATTTGTGGGTGTACTCATTTTGGTGAGTACACAACTTCTAAAAATACGCAAATTTTATTAGACATCGTGTTTGAGTTATTTTAAGTTATATAATAAAAAATAAAGAAATTCATGAAAATAATAAATATTGGTCATATTTAATAAATTCAATAATGAAGAAATCATATTCCTCGAAAGTTTTAGATGACTTGTTGTGATTTATGAGGACTTAGTTGGAAATTTTGTATGAAGATTATTTCTGTCGCCTAATACTAAAAATAAAATACAAAATATTTTTTCGACGGTTCGTCAAAGATTTGTCAAATAATACAAATTAAAAATTGAATCCTTTGATTTTTTTTAGAGATTTGGGTATGAAAATGTAGGCCCTATACCTCCTAAAATTTTAATAGTGACAAAATAAAATCTAAAAAATACATATTGAGTGAATATTTTACATCAAATAACTTAATATATACAATGTGCGAATCAAATTATGGTCCTGCTAAATTATATAAACTAAAAAAACTAAATTATATGACTAACTATTGGCATAACTTAAATACTATAACCCTATATATATTAGTCGGTGACGACAACAACAACAAACCCGGTATAATTCCACATAGTGTGGTCTGGGGAGGGTAGTGTATACGCAATCTTACCCCTATCTTGTGGAGATATATAGTCGGTGATACAAACAAATAAAAATACAATATGATTCAAAAATAAATACTCCTCCCTTTCAATTTACATGAAGTATTTTTCTTATTAATCCGTTCCAAAAAAATGATACATTTTTATATTTTAAAATAATTTAACTTTAAATTTATTATTTTACTCATTTACCCATAATGAGAAGCTCTTATAGCCTTAAAAATATCATGGCTCCACAAAACTTTTAGCAGCACAAGTTTGAAAACTCTTCTTTTTCGGTGTTAAAACTACTTCATCTAAATTAAAACCGAGTGAAGTAATACTATATAGAGTAAAATACGTTTAGTAATAAAAAATTATAAAAAATATATTATACTATTATCTCAACATAATGACTTCTCACATCAACATCAACTTCTACCAACCTAAAATTACACCGTAACAAATTAATATATACACACATGATGATTTATTGACAACCAACATCTTCTAACTTTTGGGAGTTACCAACATATAAAATAACTACTTAACAATTTTAATGTAACTTTAATTTTAACCACACAATTAAAGTCACTTTGCTTTTTAACAATTTAAATGATACCTCGGGACATAGTGAGCTGTTCAGATCATATTTATAAGTAAGAATATTGATAACACTAGTTAAAATACATAAAGATCCCATTAAATTTGTTCAAAAAATATGTTTGAACACTTAAACTAAACGGGTGTTCTTTTACCTCCATATTCTTGTTCGGAATGAATTAAATGTCACCCTAAAGGCTGATATAAAAGAAAAGGAAAAAGAAAATAAAATAAAAGCGCGTAAAATTTTAAAAAAGTGGCCCCGCTGATAATATGTAATAAAAATAAAATAAAAAATAAGATTGAGCCCCTCTCATTTTTTTAACCTACCACCTGCCTTCTTTCTCTTCTTCTGACCCCTTCTTCTCCGTTCGCCCAACTCATCTCCTTTTTTGTTCAAATTTTGTCCTTTCTCACTACTACTCATCTTCTTTCTTTTTCTTTTTCTTTTTGTATTTTTTTTTTCCTTTCCCACTATCTGCTCGATCTTCTTTCTTCTTCCTTTTTTTTTTTTTCGCCATCTGCCTCATCTTTTTTTTTTTTTTTTTTTTTTTTTAATTCAGTCCCAACATATTAGGAACATGATAATGAATTTTTCTTTATTCTAAAAATTAAGAAATTTCTTTTTGTATTTTCTCTGTTGCGGTTAATTGAACAAGAAAAAATCATAGTGGATGTTGAAGACTGAAATGAAAAATTAAAAATAATTAATATTATAAGATAACGAAATATAAAAAGAGGAGAGTAAACCAAGATCGAATGGATTTAAATTTGTAGTGTATATACGGATGAGAATTCGATAAAAAAAAAATAATTAATAGAAATTTATTAATTAATTAGAGTTTTACTAGTATATTAAATAAAGAGTAAGGAAAAAAATGTGAATAGACAAAGAAGAAACGAAACGGTTAAAAATATATCAAAATTTAGATAATTTCTGACGTGGCTCTAACGTGGTGCTGATATGACTCTAATGTGGCGCNTTTTTATGTATTTTGCCATAAAACTAATCAACTTTATAGATTTTCAATTTTATTTAGCAATTCAATTTGTAATAATTAATATTTTATAATTAAATAAATATTAGTTTACTTTAAATATTTTTCTTCTACCATGCACATGTCCTAAAAGAATAGGAGTTCTTATAGGTAACATAAATATTAACAACGGGCTAAAAAGTCATAGCCCATACATGAGCCACTAGAGAAGAATCCATCCTCCCCTTCTTATCTATTTTACCATAGCAATTGCTAGCATTAATAGAAAAATAAAAAAATAAAAAAGGTGTAGGTATTGCTTTCAAACAATTGAGATATAAAATAGATTATAAAATATTGGATATTTAATTTTATCGTAAGGCACCACAATTAATATTAATTCAGCTGATGTCTAGTCGCTTCATACTTTAAAACGTTATTCCCATAAAAAAGAATGCCATCAGTTCCCCTGTTCTTGTGTAAATTTATGATTGATTGACTCACTTCCAACATTATTGGAGATGCTAATTAAGCAAGAGATATTGTCACGACCCAATTTTCTATAGGTCGTGATGGCGTCCAACGTCGCCGCTAGGCAAACCAACGGTGAACTAACCGTATATCTATTCTTTTAATATTTTTAAAATAGTTAATTTTTAATTATTACATAAGTAAGAGATGAGAAAATTTAGTAAAATAAAACGTAACAAATTGTAAGATCAAGTGTAGTGAAATCAATACTCAAAAATCACTAAGTGTCTACTCACAAAATTCCAAGACATGGTGTCACAAGTGTATGAGTTACTAGTAGAATACACAAAATACTAAACTACTGTCTGAAGTAAAGTAGACAAAAAGTAAATACAAAAGAAAGACTTCGGGTGCTGCAGAACGGGCTCGGAAGGCAGCTCACCGCTAAGTTTCGATGTATCAGGAGTGCGTGCCGGGATGATGTCCAGATGCACCTGCCTCAGATCCTGCACGGTTAGTGCAGAAGTGTAGCGTGAGTACATAAATAATATGTACCCAATAAGTATCTAGTCTAATCTCGAAGAAGTAATGACGAGGGGTCTACTTCGACACTTACTATGGGCTAATAATAAAATACCGAAATTCTAAATAAGCATGAGTTATGTAATATCAAGACCCAATTTATCCTATAGGCCGTGATGGCGCCTAACGTCGCCGTTAGGCAAGCTACGATGAAATTACTACGTGATTACTTCTTTTGACATGCTTACAAGTAATTAAGTTCCATTAATTTAGAAATTTGAGAAATAGAGAGTCAAGTAAATAGAATGAAAGCATTTGAATGCAAGCATAAATATGTAAATACTCCAAAACTATAAAGTCTACTAGTGTGTGTGCCAAGATCCGGTGTCACAAGCATATGAGCAACTAGTAGAATATACAAAACTCTAACTACTGTCCGAAATAAATTAGATAGAATATAAATACAAAAGAGAGACTCTAGGGTCTGCATAACGGCTTGGGAAGCAGCTCACCACTAGGCCTCGGGATATTTGGAATGCGCGCCGGTAGGACCGCCAGATGCACCTGCCTCAGATCCTGCACGGTTAGTGCAGAAGTGTAGT